ACATTTAAGTTAGAATGCACATATAACGTTTTGGCTGGGTCTTGCTCAGATCCCATATACAAGTGAGGCAAAGATGGTTGGCTGTGGATGCTCCAGGTAGTCATCTACTCAAAGTACTGAGACCTCTATAACAGGGACTTCATACAAGGGTGTAAGTGATCCAGAAAAATGAAAGAGAATCTTAAAAGAACTTCTCAATTCATTGAGCGATCAGAAAAAAATGTACACTTAATGTTAATGTACACTTAATGTTCAGTACCCTCTGTGCTCAGTATCCCAGCTTCTTTCCCTTCCAGTCACTCTGAAGTGCATCATTCCAGGTTAACCTGAGGAAGAAACAAGGGTTCACCTAACATCTTGCTCTCTCATTGGGGTCCAGATTGCTTGGGAATTGGAGGTTCTTGGTTGAATGCTTAGATCTCTGGAGAGCAGACTCTTCATGTTCATGACTTTGAGTCATATTAAGTGCTACTGCTGATGATATCAGAATTTTCTCTAACATAAATATGACTATATTTATATACTTATCCAGTAACATTCACTGAATGGCTATTGAAAATAATCTAATTTAGAGCTGAAATATTCATACAAAGGCAGAACTCTTCTAAAGCCTAACTTTGAAAAGTGTTACAGGATGAACCTTGTGGTAGGACCCTTGCATTCTGAAAACTTATGTAACTTAACCCACTCTTAGTGATTGGGTCTAGGGTGAATATGTACCTAAGTCATGGTTCAGCACTTCGTTCTCAGGACATAGGAGGTATTAGAATGAGCTGAAATTAAATATCCTGTCATTCACCCCTGGGAGAGCCCTTGAAATAGAGTGCAATCAGAAAGGGAAAAACAACAAAAATGCTTAAACACATCTGAACAGATCAGACTGAAGAGTATTTCTCCTACATCTATGTGCACACAGTCAAGACCACAGTCTTGTGCAAATATATTGGTATTCTGGGACCTTAAATCATCAGTATTTGACTCCTTTTTTTCTTATGATACTGTTTCAAGTATACTGGAATATTTGGCCACATTTTATATGTTGAGATCTCTCTTTGAAGGTCTCATTCCCCACTTTGCAGGCATGGACCACATTGTCCTGCATAGTAACTTGAACCTCTGCAAGGACCTATGAACTAGTCAGAAACATAAAGGGATGTGCATGTGAATTCACATGACAAAAGATACGAAACTATTCCTGACAATCTATCATTACCCTGGCTTATAAGACATTTCAATATCAACTTCAATGGAGGACAATGACTATACCCTATGGAGGACTTTAGGCTTATACAGGAATGGTAACTTTTCTGCACAAGGGCCAAAGAACCCATTTTACAAAATATCTTCCCTGGCCTTGGAGTGCTTTCTACTCAGGGCCTGGGTATTGTCCTTGAGCTTTGGTAATAAACATACAGAAATGTTGACAGTCTATCAACTTGATTCACAGCACTACTTGTGAGAAATTTGGTGATAATTGGCCATAAGACTCTCACAGCAATTCCTACCTAGTTTGCCTTTCAATAGTGCTCTTTAAACCTCATACACTTGAGCAACTAAGAATTCTAATGTGAAGCACCAGTGCCCTGTTAGATCAGGAGATCTTAATTACTTGACCCAAGCAGGACTCATAACAGGATATAAAATTCATAACATCATATAGACATATGCAAAGGTCCTTTTGCAATCATTTGGTAAAGGACTGTTTACCTATCATTCTGTAAACCACATCCAAATTCTTCCACTAAATATTTGGAAGAATGTATTTTTTGCACAGATCATATTATTGGTCCTCAGGTTGAATTCAGGGGCAAAAATTTGTGAGGCTTCCTTTACCTTCTATACCAGATACCCTTTCATATCACTGATTTTTCACTTTAGGGTCTTGCTTCTCTGCCTGGGCCTTTCGACACACTAATTTTATAATTACATATCACAAGTAGCAAACAAGATAGGCACATATGACCGGATCCATCCTTTAATTGGCTAAGATACCATTTTCATGAAGCTTTTGCATAGGATTGCCTACTAATACTATCTAATTTCAGCTTCCTGAGTGGTTAAGATTCCACACATGAGCGAGTGTAATTGCTCATTCTTAATTGCTGGTCTTAAATTAAAAGAAGGAAAGGGTACTTTACCAATTCAGTGAGGAGTAAGTCCCTTAAGTTAGTAGTTCAAGCAAAGTGTTGGCAAAATGCTAATAACAAAAATAATCAAAGCATTAATAAAATATGTTATCATCAGTCCTACTTTAAATGAATGTAGTATGTTGGTTCATAATATGAGCTATATGACAGGCCTAGGTAGGACTCCAGTCTGTAAACCATTCCTTCTCAGAAATCATCCAGTTTGTAAACATGGAAGAGTGAGCTATTTCCAAATGGATGGGGTGTGTGTGTGTGTGTGTGTGTGTGTGTGTGTGTGTGTGTGTGTGTGGTACAAGTAGGAAGGCCAAGGGCACAGGTGCCTCCCAATCCCTCTATTTTTTACTAGGCCTCTGTAGATAAGCATAAGGCTGAACAGTGTTAGGGAAGGGGTTAATGGAGCAACTAGCTAAATCTTGCAATGTGAAGTCCACTGTCCTTATATTGTAAATAGAATCATAGGCAGGATTTAAGGATTCTTTTTTTATTGTGAAAATACCGAAAAGAGGAGTTTTTTTTTTGTTTCTATTTTTGTTTTGTTTTGTTTTTATGGTCCGGTGTGGGCCTGAACTCTGGGCCTGGGTACTGTCCCTCAGCTCTTCAGCTCAAGGTTAGTGCTCTATTACTTGAGCCACAGTGCCATTTCTGGCTTTTTTCTTTTTGCTTATGTGGTGCTGAGGAATCAAACTCAGGGCCTCAGGCATGCAAGGCAAGCACTCTACCACTGAGCCAACTTCCCAGCCCCAGGACTTATTTTTTTTGAACAATTGAAATAAATACCGAAATTGTTGCTGCCACAGAAAGCCTGAGCTGAAGCACTGAAGGAAACCTCCTGTTCCCAGAGAGATATTTCTTCAGAAAAGCCCACAAGGCTCATGCTTTGATTCCTAGCTTTTATGGTGGCCAATTTGAGAGAATCTCCTTTGAAGCCAGCTCTGGATGGCTACAACTCAGTTCCTGAATTCAACACCTCATGTTGGCACAAAAACATTCCTTATGAAAGTGTGAAAGTAGAGCTCTTCAGGTAACCAAACTGCTCTGGACATATCTAGAATGATTGGCTTATATAGGATCTGGGGTCTTGGTCTTGGTTTATTAATTAAGCACTTTCTGATGTAACAAACATTTTTTTCTAAATGCCTCCAGGATATCTTTAATTACATAACTATACAGTGGCATCTATCTTGGCTCTAGAAACTCTAAACTTAGGTCAATCTTTCTGTTTCTGTAAAAGAAGACAGTATATTTGTTGGAAGCCACATTTTGGAAGATGGAATACTGGAGTCTTTATTACACAGCTAGAAGTCTGCAAGCAGCCTGTTGTAACAAAGACTTGCAGTCCACAAATACACTTAGACAGCTTGGAAACAGGACAGAAAGGAAAAAAAGAATAAAAACAACACCAAGAAACCAATCAGCACCAAGAGAGTGCTGAATTGGGACACTATAATGACCAGACAAGCCTGGAGACAGGACACAGGACATGATCACAGAGACAAGTGGCATGGTATCTGGTGCCACTGCTGGTGCAGCCTAAATAGGGCCTACGCAGGAGGCAGGTCTAAAGGAAATTCGTACTCCCAGGCACTGGACTAACAGATTAAATAACATATCAGCCAAATGTCCATGTCTGCTTCCAGGGATCCAGCCACACACATCAGTTGGGAGGCAAGTGATGGATGGGGGCATTTCCTTCCATCTGCATGAAGAAAAGTTGCCAGACACCACCATCCACCATGTGGCCAAAAGGGCACCAGCCACACCTGACCTCCTTACTTTATATTACTGAATTATTAAATCAATTTATATAATGTTACAGCCTCTTTATCATTTTGTAAACAGTTCAAGAATTTGCTTTTTTAAAAGCCATTTTTCTTGAGCTCAAAGAATAATTCTCACCCTCACCAAAAATTAAACATTCTTCTTTTGAATAGTTTATTACTTCCTTCTTCATCATTCCTTCCCTTCCTCTTTCCCTCTCTCACTTCCCTCCTTCTTTCCTTCCTCTCATGGCCTAAAAATGATGCTGTAGCTCAAGTGGCAGATATTAGTACTTTTTTCTTAACTTCAATTTTTGTGATAGATTGATCAATATCTTTGTGTGTTTGGTTATTTCCCCTAATGTCATATCTACATTGGCCCTCTATAGATAACACAGGCACAACACATCATCCACACTGGTGTTTTATTATAGCTCACTCAGCAGAGCAACTACATGGCTAAGAGTGAATCAATCACAAGTTGCTCATCACTAGTGATTAATTAAAGAAAAGAGCAAGCACTGAAGACACTTTGGGATTCTCCCCCAAGGCAAAATACAGAGACTCTTGTCTTTATTTATCCACCATATTTTTTAAAATATATTTTTTATTGTAAAGATACTGTACAGATTGGTTATAACATTATATGAGTCAGGTCATGAATACATTTCCTATCGAGCATTGTTACCACTCTGAGAAAGACTTTACTACTGTGTATGTAATGCAATAAGGACTAATATCTTCCATTAGATCTTCCATTCAAAAACTGAACTGGAATAAGTAAGTCATTTGTACTATAAGGCATGGATCACACATACAGAGGGAGACTTAAGGGAGCAGTAGAAAAATGGTTCTTCTCATGTTCTTGCGTCCAATCATCACATTCTTTACCTATCTATTGTTCCCCTAACCATTTTGGAGATGACCTGAAGCCAGTCCCAAAGGGCCAGAGCTCATGTTTCTAAGAAGAGTTTATCAAATTACCCTGACATACCATTCCTTAGTATAAAAGACACAAGTTAATGACTTCAATCTCTGAATTACTTGTTGTGATTGGTTGTTCCTACACGCTTTGGATAATATTGAAGGACACCATCCCCACTCAACACAATGAGAGGATGAGAAATGTTGGCTCAAAGAGAGCTAAAGAGTGAAGAATGGTTTCCCATCACCTTAGCTTGCCTCTGCCATGAAGGATTTCTCTGTATAATTTACAGTGGTTTTCTGACAAAGATTTTCCTACCTTGGGCTTCTTTCCTGGGTGGATGTTTTACTAATTGCTGAAGGTTGGCTTCTGGTTGAAATTCTTCCTCATATGTTTATATTTACAGAGATTCTGTCATGTGTCCAGGTCTCTGATACCTGTACAGATGTGACTTCTGGCAAAATGATTTCTATACTCATAATTCCTCTACTGTGTATGCTTTCACATATGCTGAGGACTCACTTCTGATTGAAAGTCATTCAAATATGATCTATTCACTATTTTTTTCTCCTATGTGAGTCAGTTCTCTGATGAACATGAGGTATTCCTTTCTGATCAAAGGATTTCCACATTTGTAATGTTTGTAAGATTTCTTCAGTGTGTGTGTTCTATGAACTTGGATCCATGAACACTTGGTAAAGACTTTCTTTTTTTTTTTTTTTTGTCGGTCGTGGGTCTTGAACTCTGGGCTTGGGCGCTGTCCCTCAGCTCTTCAGCTCAAGGCGAGCACTCTACCGCTTGAGCTACAGTGCCACTCCAATTTTCTGGTGGTTTATTGGAGATAGGAGTCACACGGTCTCTCCTGCCTGGGGTGGCTTTGAACCGCGATCCCCAGATCTCAGCCTCCTGAGTAGCTAGGATTACAGGCGTGAGTCACCAGCGCCCGGCTCTGGTAAAGGACTTTCTACATTTGTTACATTTGTATTTTCTCGCCTGTGTCTGTTCTCTGATGTAAACTGAGTTAGGACTTTTTCTTGAAAACCTTTCCATTTATTTTTCCTACATAGGATTTCTCTCCTCTTTGTGTGTAATGGTGTGTGTGTGTCTGTGTTTTGTGTGTTCTGTGATGAACCCTGAGTTGGAGGACTCCACATTGGCTATATCATAATATCTCTATCCTGTGTTGATTCTGTATTGCAATTTTAATTTTCTTACAGATCAAAGACTTTCCCCATTTGGTACAATCCTAAGTTATTTCATTTGTGTGAATCAACTTCTGTGTGTTAAGCTGTGACCTCCAGGTCTTTCCACACTGGTTGCATTCATAAGGTTTCTCTCCTTGTGTTCTGTGATGGATGATAAAGTGTGCCTACCAGGTGAAAGAATTTCCATGCCTGCTACATACCTAACATTTCTCTCTGGTGGGTTTTTTTCTGATGGACAGAAAGTTGTATGTTCTGGGTGAAAGACTTTCCACACATGTTACATTCATAAGGTTTCTTTCCTGTGTGTGTTCTGTGATGGACAGTGAGATTTGACTTCTGGGTGAAAGACTTTCCACACAAGTTACATTCATAAATTTTCTCTCCTGTGTGTGTTCTCTGGTGGACAGTAAGATGTGCCTTGCGGGTGAAAGACTTTCCACAAATGTTACATTCAAAAGGTTTCCATTTTGTATGTGTTCTCCGGTGGACAGTAAGCATTGATTTCTGGGTGAAAGACTTTCCACACATGTTACATTCATAAGGTTTCTCTCTAGTATGTGTTCTCTGGTGGACAGTAAGGTATGCCTTCTTGACAAAAGACTTTCCACACACGTTGCATTCATAAGGTTTCTCTCCTGTGTGTGTTCTCTGGTGGACAGTGAGGTCTGACTTCCAGTTGAAAGACTTTCCACAAATGTTACATTCATAAGGTTTCTTTCCTGTGTGTGTTCTCTGGTGGGTAGTAAGGTTTGACTTCCAGGTGAAAGACTTTCCACACACGTTACATTCATAAGGTTTCTTTCCTGTGTGTGTTCTCTGGTGGGTAGTAAGTTTTGACTTCCAGGTGAAAGACATTTCACACATGTTACATTGAAAAGGTTTCTCACCTGTGTGTCTTTTCTGGTGGACAGTAAGGTGTGACTTCTGGGTGAAAGACTTTCCACACACATTACATTCATATGGTTTGTTTCCTGTGTGAATTCTCAGGTGCACAGTAAGGTATGCCTTACAGGTGAAAATCTTTCCACACATGTTACATTCATAAGGTTTCTCTCCTGTCTGTTTTCTCTGAGGGATGATAGGGTATGTCTTCTCAGTGAAAGACCTTTCACATTGGTTATATTCTTCAACTACAGAAGACTCAATAGGACTATTTACAGCACACATTTTACCAGGTTCACTGAAAAGACCCATGTTCTGAATCCCAGTGACTTTTTCTGTCCTCATCCCTAAGGAGTTCCCATTATTCTTAATCAGTTCTGACTTCTGTTTTGAGCTCAAATGAAAACTTCTTGTAAGTGTCACTTTTTCCTCCCCTGGGTTACTAGTCATGCCTGTTACTTCAGAGAGATATTTATTGTGACTTTCCTGACAGGTGCTAATCACATCCTCCATTTCATGGACATCTAAAATGAATTATAGAAAAATAGACAAAAACATAAATGAGATCCATAAATTCCTTACTGTAAAGGTATTTTCTCATATTCTAACTGTTACAACATTTTCAAATATCAAAGCATTGTTTTATGCAGAATATATACTTTTCTCTGCAATGCAGTAATTAAGAAAGTAGTACTGACATTTTCCAATGGAAAATAACGTTTTTCTGTATTTCAGATTTTTCTATTTTTCTCAAGGAAGTATTTACTCAAATTATTCATCTATGTACTCTTAATGCTTCCATTCCAAATTGCCCTCTTTGCCCAGCCCCACTGATAATAAATTGTTCCTATCAGAGGATAGCAGCCCTAGCATACTCCTATTTTCCTCCTGCCTGCATAATACTAGTTGAAAATAAAACGAGATCTCCTTTTGTACCTTTCTTATTGTCTTTTTCTCTTAAAGAATGACTTCTCTACCGACAAAGAGAGTTGCTATTATTAACTACACTGGCACACCAAATTCAGTTTGTCTCCACGTGAATTCTGGATTGACAATTCCTTGAGACAAAGGACCACCTAGTTCTCTGCCATCCATGACTCAGGGGCACTAGGAATACTACCGCTCTGTACAGCTCAAGATAAACAGACCAACTGGGCTCAGGATCCTTCATCATCATTCAAGGCTTCTACTCACCTGTGAAATTCTTGTCTGAGGCTTCTCTTATCCATGGTTCTGCACCTTGCTCCAGCTTCACAATCAATTTAGGTTTAGGAACACAGTGCCCTGTGATTAAGAAATAGTAGAGAACTATAGCTCTTGCTGGGTCATCATTAATGTCAGATCACAGACACCCTCTTCACAAGGTTGATCCTAAATCTGGTTTCTTATTTGGTTTTTCAGGGGTGGGGGGTCTGGTTGTGGGGCCTGAACGATGGCCCTGGGAGCAATCCCTCAGCTCTTAAGCTCGAGGCTAGCACTCTATCACTTGAGCCACAATGCCAATTCCAGCTTTTTTCCCCTACTTATGTGGTGCTGAGAAATTGAACACAGGGCCTCAAGCATGCAAGGCAATTGCTCTACCACTGAGCCACCTTCCCAGCCCATGGTTTCTCAATTCTTAACAACTCCATGGTGGAGTTTCCCCCAGCTTTGGGTTTATTCTGCAAATTGTGTTGCTTGAAATCAGTTCTTTTGCTCAAAGCTAGCATTCTGCTAGTTTGACTCTTGGCCACATTTCCAGTTTTTGAATGGTTTATTGGAGATAAGAGTCTCATGATTATTTTTCTACAGTTGCTGGCTTCAAACCAAAATCTTCAGATTTCAGCCTCCAGAGAATCTAGGATTCAAAGCTTGATGTACTAAACTCTGTGTCAAGTTTGGCTTACAAATACACACTTTCAACTAATGATTTCCAGATCATAATGCCAGTAGTAATGTATATTCTATCTAGACTGTAGATCCACCTATAATAATCACCTCAAGTCTGAGAAGTCAGTCTCCTATTAGGGGATCATAGTTTAGGACTTTTCCCAACTACTGATTTGCCTTCATATAGAACAAGAATAAAAGTAGCTCTTGAGTTACATATAATGAAGTTGAAGTTTCCCTTAGAAAGAAATGATACTTCCCGTGGAGTGGTCTTTCTTTCTGTTCTTTTTTATTTTTTTTTAAGAAAATGTAATGATCCAAAGGCTTACACCTGTAACCCTACAATTAGGAGGTGAGATCAGAAGAGTCAGGCTTGAAACCAACCTGGGAACACCAACCCAGAATGTACCCCAAAACAAAAGCCAAAATGGAATTGTGGCTCAAGCAGTAGTGCTAAAGGCAAACAACACCAAGCTCCCAGACCTGAATTTGCCTGGCTTTTATACTAGCAGTTTTTTACCTGGGAATGAATTGGTATATTATACCTAAATAACATAAACATTCAAATATCTACTAAAATAAAAACACTTGATCTTCCAAGTAAAAATAACCTTTGCTCACCCAAGGATATTAGGTTGTTATAGGTCTCCAGCATTACATCTCTATGAAGGGTCCTCTGACCAGGATCCAGATCCTGCCACTCCTTCCAGGTGAAGTTCACAGCCACATCATCAAATGATATCAGCTTCTGTAATGGCACATTTCCATCAAGAAATTAGACCTGGGTCATGAGAATTCCAATCTGGAATTTCTTTATATTGCAGGTCTGCTTTTGCCTTACATAAAATGTTTGCAGCTAGCTTTGTTATCTATTCACTGGGAAAATTAAATAGCAAATTAGGAATATTTGACAATATATAAACCTGGTCATTAAAATACACAGATTTGCAAGGTGCTGGTGGCTTATACCTGTAATCCTAGCTATTCAGGAGGCTGAGGTCTGAGGATCAAGTCTCATGGCCAGCCCAGGCAGGAAAGTCCATGAGACTCTTTTCTCCAATAAACCACCAGAAAACTGAAAGTAGCACTGTGACTCAAGTGGTAGAGCACTCACCTTAACCTGAAGAGCTGAGGGAAAACAACCAGACCCAGAATTCAAGTCCCAAGACCAATAAAAAGTTACAGTTTCACTCATGCATGCAAACACATTTCTGCTGCTAGCAATAGAGACAAGATAAAAACTCTAAGGAAACAATAATCTG